CAGTGCCGCGCCCTACTGAGGGCAGCACAATTAATTGTCTCTCCACTAAGAAAGCTGTTACAGCATTAGTGCTGCTTGGCAGGGCAGCTGGTAAAATCAACAACTGCCTATGTTAGTTTAGGCATTTGTCTTCCTTCATGAGTAGGAAAGCCAAAGACAGAGGAGGAGGAAGTAGAACCCTAAATGATCTTTGCAGGCAACCTTTCACAGAGATGAACAGTGCCAATTTTCTTGCCTGGGCTGTATTGCACAGGGGATTTAGGGTATGCTGCTTCCTCGGACGTGCCATCGCTGGGATAGCTTGCAGAACTCAACCCTCAACATTTGCTTTTTGCCCCCAGATTTTAGCAAATCTTTTTTCTCCACAAGTATGCCAACTGGCACACTTTCAGTTTGTTGGTTTTCCCGTGGAATGTGAATCTGATTGACTGATGTACTGCAGAAATAATAGTCCAGATCAGCTGTTTCTGTCCATTTCCAATGTTAGATTTCAATGTGCTATTCCAGACCAGTAAATGGTAGGTAGACAAAGGATTCCCTTGAAAAATATCCTACTTCAGGATTTAAGATCACCAAATGAAGCACAACTTAATCCCTAAAAGAACCCGTATCTGCTTTCTGCCTTCTCACTTTACTCAGAAATCTTCTTTTCTGTGTTTTCCCAGTGCTAGCAGCACTTTAGTTTCAACTCAAGATAGGCCTACATCTAAACACAAACATAATTTTCAACTATTTAGGATCTGGATGCAAGATCTGTAGCTCAGACTAATTTTTGCTTTAGATATTAGCTGTCTCAACTGGGCAATTTGAACAAATGTCAAAGAGATTGCTGATTGTCATAATCAATGAACGCTAAATGAGATAGCAGAGTTTAAAAGCATACTAAAAACTGAAGCAAAGTTTAAAAGCAGGTGCATATCAAGCTGATGAAGAAATCCTCAGATGTGATCACTGCGGTTCAAAAAAAATATCCGTATCCGGACAGCTCACTGAAACAACAAAGCATTGTATACGAAAAAGGAACACTTGTCAAGGAGCTGCTCTCTGTGCATGAATGGAACGGCCCAGTGAGCGGGGATTTCACAGGCACTCAAGGTGACACTGGCTTAGTTGAGAGATAAACACCGGCTACTCCTGCTGCTTACAAAGCAACGAGCGGTGCCAACGAGCATCCGAGGGAGTCCGGTGGCTCTCAACAGATAACACTCTGCTACTTCTACCCGCAGAGATAACACAGATAAGAGGAAAAGCAGTAGGCAGCAAGGAAAAGGAACAAAATTTTAAATAAAGAAACCTGAGCAGCTGAATTATACCTAAAGGAAATGAGATCACCATTTACTTCAGATTCCAACCACAAACAACTGACAAGTAATCAAGAGTCATTAAAGTAGAAGAATTTTTATGAATCACATCCAACTTAAAATCAGCTACTCTGGAAATTCCTGGGACTCATACAAAGTGTAATTTGAGAGAATAAGATTAAAGAGCAAGCTTTATATTTTTAACTTTACGAATGGTGATAATGTAACATTTGAAATCTTTTTGTTTACATTTCAAAATCTAATGGTTTTTTCAGTCATTCCCCTTATTATCTCAAGAGCTAGAACTAAATTGATTAAAAAATGTAACTTGGCTAACATCAGAGGGAGAATACAAAATGTTTTACTGTAAAAGTAACCATGTTTTTCAAGATAAAGATAGAATAATCTAAAACAACTTTATACTGGAAAATTTTCCTCAAACTTGTAACACATTTTCTGACTGCCTTAAAATCTTTTCTGTGATAATCCAAAATTAACTGTAAACCAACACAATTTGATTTTGAAGCTGCATTCCAATACACGGAGCAATTGTAAATATTCTTGAAATTCTATACCCAGTTTGGGCAACTTAAAAAAAATCAAACAACAAGAAGCTATTATCATTATGTACATGACAAGTCATGTCAATCTTTTGGCATGACTTCTAGATGTTTTCTTAGGTTTTGTATTGTTAATCACTAACCAAATACTGAATGTGTGGCTTAACCCGTCTTTTATGTGAGATGACAGAGGCTTAAGCACACATAACTGCTCATATGTAAATTTAGACTTCTCCATTCCTAATGTACCACAAATAGAGAGGACTTGCAAATGATTATTCTACTTCATGGTAAGCCATGTTGGCAAAACAGACATTTTACTAGTCAAAGGACTAATTGTGATGTTAGTTATACTTGATACAAACCAGAACAACCACCAGACTTAAGGCAATGTAAAGCCTCAGGCACACCTGAGCTCAGACTCTGCAAGTGCCATGGACAGTGCCCCTGCACTGTGACCCATTAATTTTAGTAGGACCTTGCACAAGTGCCTGCTCACAGAGCCAGGATCTCAGATTTAGGGTAGATTTCCAAGAATGGTTGCAATTTTAAGCATGTGGAAATTCCTATTAGGCTAATGAATGTCTGTGACTGAGAAAATCAATATGGAATATCAGGGTACCACAGTGAGGGATACTTTTCCTTATAGAACAGCCCTTCTCTAGCAGTTCTTGTTACTAATATTTATAGTGTTATTTAACTCTCTGTGAGTTCTAGTCTTTTGGGGTTTACTGATGGACCACCAGAGTCAATGTGTGGTGGATGGTATTTCTCTTTAGTTTTAATATTTTATCATCAGCTGTGAAAATGAACATTGTAACTAACAATACCTCCACCCTAGCAACTTCTGCAGAACAATGCAAACCTCACAATCTCTTTCAGCGCACCACCATATGATAAAACCCCTGTATTTCTTTAAGAGGGTCAGTGTCATCATCTAGCTGGAATGGAATGTCTTCTTTTTTAGATTTGCTAGGTCAGGCTGGCCGATTAGTCTGAAACATTCAAGTTACTTCAGCTATAAATTAAAAGAATCAGCATGATTTTTACTGGGAACTGAAAACTGAAACAAAGAATCACAGTAACCCAAGAACTGCCTGACTGTGGATCTGATCCTACTTGCTCTGCAGGGTTGGACCCACTGCATCTGACCTCTGTTTTGGAGAAGTGCTATATGACTGCAGGGGGTTCACAGGCTGGAATCACATGAGCAGCTCATTATAGATGTATACATTTTCTTTATTCTGTGCTATAATCCAGGTGCAGAAAAGAGAAATACATAAAACCCTATTGTTAACAGCCCTGACTACATAATACACTTGAGATTTTGTGAGTAATGTTTTCTCGTTTAGATGCTGTATTCCTACTGAGCAGGTAAAGTGTCTTCTACAAGGTCACCTGTACCACTTCCTGGACCACCTCTTTTCTTCACAAGTCTTTTTCCTTCCTTCCTGCCTACACCTCTGCCAAATTCTGGTAAGAGACCAAGGTGATGAAACCACAGACACGTATAAGGAAAAGGAAATAAATACTGGAAAGCACAAAGTGGCTCTCAAAATACAAAACTTGTTCATGAGTCTGTACAAGAGTTTCTCTCCTGAGACCCATGGCTAGTCATTAATCAGTATCTACTGGGCAAATGAGTTCCACTGAGAGTCTTGCACTAGACATCTCATTTTATTCACTGTTCTTCAAAAAACACTGATTTTGCGTTATAAAGACCAGATTTTCCTCTGTCCTGTCACAATCCTATTCCGGAGAGATAACATGGTTTGTAACAGGGCTCTTCTAAACCCTTGAGACATGCAGTAGTGGACAAATGCTGACCCTGAAGCTACCAAACGTCCGTTGGTAGCAGAACCAGTCCTGTTTCATCCCTCCCACTCCTTGGATCTGAGCATTTCCTATCTGTGCAGGCAGGTCCAGCTTTGAGGTCAGATGGAGGTCATGGCAGAAATGCCAGCTACAGATTTTCCAAAGTCTCTGCCTTAAGACAGGGCACGTAACAAGGGTCCAAGGGTTTCTTTCAGCCAAAACCTTACTTTAGATCTTGTGCTAGCCATCAGCCAGCTCAGTGAACTCAGGAACTGGAGTTCATTTCTGCTTCCTTAAGTCACTTAATGCTCATAGAGATCATGCAGTCTTGTTTGCTGTGAGATTACTTGGAATACCAAAACAAACTCATTTGCTGCCAGCTTGGAGATCTCTCTACTAAACCACAGTTTCAGGTCAGTCATTCAACTATAATTCATTCACCTATCCAGGTGCAAATATTCAGACCAAAGGAATTCGATGGCACTAAACTGGCACCGCAAACATGAGAGAATTTCTGATCAGTAACTGTCACCAGTCTGATTGAAACAAAGTGACACCACAGCCCAAGTCACGTCTCCTGGTGGCCTTCTAGATATATTTAAGTAATACAGTATTTCAGTAAAACTTAAGTACATGACAAATGGTAGAAAAAGGGAGTTTTGAACCTTGCTGTACCTCGTGTCAGAGTGAAAATGGCAAAAGGTTTTGGCTGTTGGTCCTGGGAAACAAGTCTGAACCTTCAGGTTTTAGGGGGAAAATGAGGAACAGGAGACACCTACACAGCTTGGTCAAAGGTTCAGTGAGAAGATAACTGCTCACAATTCTACAGCACTTCCCAGGGAACAACAAATGTGAAAGAGGAAAGCTGGTTGCTCTACAGTTGACTTTTCTTCCAGAAGGAGAGTTTGAGGCCTAGCACCTCTTCCTTGGGAGTAAGGAGAAGAAAGGAGAGGTGCTGTCCAGGCCTGGGGAGCCCTCTTCTTCCTGCATCTTGTCCCTTCCCTGCTTTTCCTGCTGAATCAAACCATGACCCATTTCTTCATTTATTATCTGTAAGGTTGGTGTACTAAAATTAATTGAGTAAAGGTTACAGACCATTTTTAAAATGTGGATTATTCCTCCCTCTCTGGAATTGATTCCCCAGGACAAGTTTACTCGATAACCACTCTTCTGAAGTGAAGAGTGCCATGGGGATTCTACCTTCATATTTTCTGCCCTGTTTCTTAGAGGATTTAATTGCTTGTGATGTTGATATATTAAGCCACCACAGAATGAGAGAAGAATTACTCTCCTGAAATTCAGAAAGGTTTATTCCTTACCTGTGTTCACTTTTGGACTTCAAGCTTCAACTGTTTCTCCTAACTCAGTTCCTGCCATTCAGTGAAGTGAACCCAGCGTGCTTTCAGCAGCCATGAGCTCTGTTCTGATGTGAGCCTGAAGATCTGAACAGAAGGGAATAGAGAATGTAAGCAGACAGTACCCAGATAAAGGCACGGTTATACCCCAGACTTGACACAAATAGAAGGTGGGGAGGGAAGAAGAAAGCTGAGCCATCCTCATAGCAGTCATTACATGTGGAACATAGAAGGGTGGTCTCCCTAAGCCCTGAATTGTCCAGTTATGAAAATGTTTTTCTTGAGGGGAGTTCAGGTCAACTCCTGCTCTGACCTGACCTCTGAAGAAACTGCACTTCATCAGCTACAAAGCCTATGGAGACCTACTTCAGCTTAGTCACCCGAACTACCTGAAGGTAAACTCTGTGAATATACCCACAAATATTATGTACTGGTTTGCTGTTATTCACTGCATTGCTATAACATCGCAGTATAACGTGAAAAAATCACATTTGACTGGGCCAAGAAAGACTATCCCTTCTTAGATAGACGTCTGCTAGTTTGTATTTCCATCCTCATCTTATGAAATGAACATGCTTTGAATACTTCTTTGGAAGACAGAAATTATAAGAAAACCGTGACCAGTTTCTCACGAGCAGCAGATTGCTACGGGCAAGAGAGCTGTAAGTAACTTTGGAGAACATAAGTTTAGCACCTGCTGTGAGCCCCGTGTCCTAATAGATTGCAGCTGGCATGACGAATGCTCCCTGTTCGCCCCATTGTTCTGCGTTTCTGCTGGAGACAGCTCTCTGAAAACACACCCAGTGCTTCAAGCACGCATTCTGGCCCAATACTCCCTCCCAGCGGGCTGTGTTTAACCCACATCTGAAAGAATGTAACCCTCTATTAATTAATAAATCACTTGTGCTTCTCTCATTATGGGTAGCACCATATGAATAAAATACACCACATTTGCTTGTATCTCTAGGCATCCTTATTGACATTCTACGTTTATCACTAATGTATATACATAAACGTTATCATTCTATGTCATGTCTCCGGGCATGTTTCTCGTGTTTCTCATAGCTCTCACATTTCTCTTTTGGTTTTATAAACGCCTCTAAGGCATTGCTGGCTGCCGCGGGGAAGCCAAGGAGCTCCTTCCAGAAATCTTGCTCTGAACAATGCTGCCCTCCCTGACCGTACCCCCTTCCCCCGAAACTAAAAAGCACTATTAAAAATTTCCCCCTTGAGTCACTCCAGCAGCTTTGTCTACAGAGGTGAGAGCCGCAGCATCGGCTCACTGCCGGGAGATGGGGCGGTGCGGACCCGCCCCAGAGCGGCCGCAGCGGGGGCGGTCCCGGGCCGGCCCTTTATAGAGCCCGCTCCGGGGCGCTCCGGCAGCCGCTGCTGCAGCTCCGCCGTGGGCATCCATCGGCACCGCCGCTCCACGGGATCCGCCGCCGGTAAGTGCCGCGCTTCTAAAACCCGGTTGTCATCTAAGGGCACAAGTGCCGGGTCTGAGTCGAACAGAGTGAAGCTGCTCTTTAAATTAAATTAAAAAAAGAATAACAATCTGGTGTCATGCCGTATTGCAGCAGCGGGGAAGGTCAGTTCTACGTGCTGCAGTATGTCAGAATTTTGACGGGGAATCAGCAGTATTGCTATTCGTGATGTGAAAGTTGGGCCTGAGAAACTGATTATGGTGACAAATGATAAGTTACTTGCTGCCAAAAATGCTAAAAATAATTCTCTTAAGTATGTTTAGGGGAAAATATATCTGCTGAAATCACATCTGAATCTGAAAAGCATGCACAGCCAAGTACCTGAGGCATGATTTTGCTTCTTGCATTATGAAACCTGCTACAAGCAAAGGGTGTGTCTACATTAGCACTTTGATTTTCATGTCTATTTTCCAAATGAATCCAGTGAGCTCTGTTCCCCATGTTTTGGTTCACACCACAGAGTGTGTGAACTTTAGCGTGTGCCCTAATGAACTGTAGAGTACTTCCACTCCATTTCTCCCCAGAAAAACCAAACTGGAAGGTACAATCAATGTATTAGAAGGCACTCAGTCTGCAGGACCGAATAGAATTAGTCCAATATAGAAACCTCTGAAGCAGGTACAGTGTGGAGCAAGTCTTCAGCACCAACTTAGTTCTGTACATCCTCTTCTACTGCAGTGCTTGCCAGTGTAAATATAACTAAGATTCCCATGGAATCTTTTCAAGTTTCACAGTTTTCTAGAACTGAGGATGCTTTTTAAAAAATCATCCCATGACTTGCATTGCAATTCAAAAAAGAGAAGAAGATCTATTGCTGTTTTACTGTACTCCCCATTGTTGTCACAAGGTAATTATCTACCAGTCCCTCTTGGTAAGATTGCTATAATGCTTGGCTACAAGAGCCAGCTGCATATAAGAAATCAAGACAGAACGTGTTGTAAGCCTCTAATATCGTAAATAAGTGAGGTAACATCACAAGCAGACTTTCAAGAGTTTGCAGTGGTGAGAGGTGGCCAGGCTTACATATCAACAAGATGCAGTAGGTAACTACAGAGGTACTGAAAAAAGGAGCTTTCCCATTCATTCCCTGAAGTTAGATGTTCAGTGCTTTTATTGTAAGGTAGTAATGATCAATTAAATACATACAAACAGCTGGACAGCAGCTAAATAAATCTGCCAACTTCCAATTTTTAGTCCGCACTGCAAAAACTGAGTATGGATTTTTCCAATTTCCCCTTCTCTGCTTCATTAATCAGTTGTATTGCTGAGTGTACAAGAAAAAAGCTTCAAACAATAATCTCAAATTTAATATGTGGAGATAATAAGCAGATATTCCACAGCAAGTTAATGCTAGTGTCTTCATTGTGTTGTGACTTATTATGAAACCAGCTGAGGACAACAGAAGCAAGAAAGCTGACATTGCAAGCTATAGCATGACATGAAGTTCCTCTTTTATTTTCAGAATCAAATAATACAGATAGAAGAGGCACAAAGTGAGAAGTTAACAACATGAAGTTACTCATCTTTCTCATAGTAGCCCTTGTCATGGGACCAGATTCTGTAAGTTTTGAAATAAATGGTGGGTTGGTTTGCTTGGAACCACTTCTGGGTTTGACTACACTTTCTGCTTTGGACACTGTAACAGGCTTTTGCCTTGAATTCTATTTTACTGCCTTTGCATGCACATATATACCTGCTGTGCATATACCTCAAAGAAACCTGTTTCGAGTCCTTTGGTTTTTCTCCCGATTCTGTTCCACCTTAAGGCATTCATATAGCATTCAGATAGTGAAGGCATTCAATAATCAAGAAATCTAGCTTTTCTATTTTTCTCTTAAAGCAATTTAGATATGGACACTGAGCACCAAGATCTTGCTGGTCTTTTCTGGAGGTGGATATTGGGCCTTAGCTAAATTTTCCCCTCCCCTACTTGAAAGTGTGATGCTAAAAAAGGAATAATAGATACTAATTTGAGTATTTTTGACTATCAACTTGTATGACAGTTGGTGCCTATCAGCAAAGCCATTCACCAACATTATGGAACTATGTTGTTATCATTATTTGTTTTAGCTCAAGCAAGCCCATTTGACCTCTGGAAGAAATACAGTAAAAACCTAATCTTATTTAATTTCATGGAGAGAGAAATATCCAGACTGCAAAGCAGAGGCAGAGCCTTGAAAGACAGAGCAAGAATCTATTGTTGTATAAATCTACTATCTTTTATTCTATGGCCCAAATGTGGAGCACCAAGGTCACTAAAATGACAGAGGCAGCTGGTGAATGTTGTATCTTTGCTGCAGTGCTTGGTGGAGTGGGAGAAGCTTCCTTCCCTGTTTTAGGGACACTGACCTTTAAATGCTGCCTGGGTTCTTCCAGCATAAATAATTGCAATGTTTCCCTGATGCAGTGGACCAACTTGGAGGGGCTTTTCTGAGGGTTTGTTTGCCTGATGTGGGATTTTTTTTTTCCTTCCCTATTCTGCTTTGCTCAAGTACAGTTCCACTCTTCATTCATATCCAGATTCCACAGAGCAGGTTCAGCTGGTAACTACATGCAAAAAACCTAAACTGTTGAAGCTATGCAGTAGGGAACAGAGCTTGGGCCCATAAAAGGTAATCACACCACATAAAATAAACTGCTTCCTTAAAAGCCTTTCTTTCTTTTCCCTTAGGGTTATAGCTGGAAGTACTACAACATGCTATACAAACGCAGATCAGATCACAAGGGTAAGTATCTGCTTGTTCTACTGGAACCTAAAATCTTATTATCTTGCAATTATATCTTCATACCAGAAGGAGGGCTCTTAATGACACTTAAACACCTAAAACTAGTTTGCAATTACATTTCACCTCTTTATTCAAATGTTTTGTCTATAATTAGCAATGTTTTTTACTTACAGAATGCTCTTGTTTGAATGGAGGAACTTGCATTACCTATTACCTCTTCAGTGGAATTAGTCGCTGTGTATGCCCAGAAGGATACACTGGGATTCACTGTGAACTAGGTAGAGTATTTGTCTTCCTTAATACCAGCTAAATTGATTGAAAAGGTCTAAAAAGATAGTTAAATAATTAAAATGAAATGCTAAGTGAAAGTATTACCCATAAATGGGGCTTGACAGTCTTTAGCACTTTATGTTAACAGAATAAGTGAGCAGAGACAACTAAATGTTGGTGCAACATTTAGTGAGGATCTCCTTTTTTTGTCTGCCTCTTCAATAACGTTGCTTACCTCAACCTTTCTTTTTAGTTTGTAGTGAAAAAAGTGAACTTGTTTGTGAGTCTTCAGAAGCAGAATCAATTGTATTGTGAAATTCACTGAAACTATTAAAGAATTAATATCCATGCTTTAAAATGTGAGATACTTGATGCTCAAATTCACACAGGACAAATGTAATAAAAAATATATACTCAGTCTAGATTTTGCATCATCTGTTTTTGATTGTATTGCAAGAACTTCTTCCTCATTAAAAGGCTTTATCCATGTCTGTCACAGAACAGTTACAAACAAGAACATGCTGCTAATAAAATATTTCTTTTCTCAGAGACTGATAGCAAATGCTATACTCAAAATGGGGAGGACTACAGAGGGATGGCAACAGAA